TTTAGAGTATTTATGGCCTAAAATGTTATCATTTCCAGAAAATCAAAATCCTTTTCAAAGTCATATACAAATTTCACGTTCCGCTTCCACTTTTACCCTACCCACCCACAAAACAACTATTTTAGAGTTTCCAAACACATTCAGTTGCTTGAAAGATCACTTCAGACGTAGGTTGGCAGTAAGCTTATGGAACTGCCACAAGCATCCTAACCTAAAAAAATCTCCAGATCATTAACTTCTTCCATTTAACCTTAAATGTCAACAGAATCTCTAATCTACGATCTTTAGGCAAGGAGGAAAGTTCGAAAAACTCCTACTCAGAGGAAAGCCGAATGTTAGATATCAATATTAGAGTGAAAAAGCTCTGTAAACCATAAAAGCAATATTGATTTCACATAAATACATACAGTTGCATGATATGTGGGTGGTCCGTGGCTTCACTGCTCTTAATGTACAACAAAACCCACCTCTTCTTTCAACTTATCAAAATTCAAAATCAGAAAAGCATATCTTATCGCTATTATATTACATAATTGTTTGTGAAATTCAATGTTTGAAATTTATTTTTTTTTTTACATTTTGACACCTTTTCAAGTAAACACACCTAATATGTACATATGTATGGCTCCAGAAATATTTCAAAATAGTGATAATATGACGTTTGTTTGTGTTTTCCGTTATTGTCATCAAATTACACTATCTTATCGATAATTTTGTGTGCATTGAAGGAGTTCAATGGAAATGCACCATTATCTATAACAACCAAATTCACAACACTATAAGAAGCAAACAACAGCAAATGCACTGTAAACGCAGGTATTGATTTCCAGTACAAAAATAAAAAAGAGTTCAGCGATAAAGTTTCCAGCAGACAGCGGCAATTGGTGTGTGTGGCAACCATCTGCTGGTGATCGATCGATCGGTCGAAGTGATAAGTGTGTTGCGCTGCTTCTAGAAAGTTACAGCAATCACTTTATCATATCGCAATGCAATTTAAGGTAATTAGTTTTGCGTGATAAATGGAAATTGTTGAGGTGCTACCACAACACAGAGGCAAGGATGAACACTTCCATATATACGAAATAGTAAAATATGAATGAAAATGTTTTACACTCCAACATATACGAAATATTAACAATTATACTGTATAAAATATGTATCTGTAATCAAATACGCCCAATTTCGAAAATTTCGATATTGGATTCCTGCAGCGTTTTAATTAGCACTAAATTAACATTGCTGCTCTTCGAACTCCCACTAAACGCAAATCACGCCGTCTCTTCGACGGCCAAAAGATCGTGTGAGCCATCAGTTGACGCTGTGTGATAAATTGCGTGTCAAATTGTCGCAGATTTTTTGTTGTCTTCGAAACAATATTGAGATAATAACTTTTTATATTAAAAAATTATTACTATTTTGTATTTATGTTCTAATTTTTTAGCCTGAACAGGGAATATTAAATTTGAAACATCGGAGAATACATGAAATGTATATATAAATCATAAGGGCGCGTATGTCTGTCCGTTTGTATAGACTCGACCTTTTAAGATATAGGATCACTGCACCATACACAGCGAAAACTATGCCTTTATGTTTAAAAGTATTCTATTAAAAAAAAAAAAACAGAGAATTTAAAATTTGTCCAGTAGTTTTGAATAATTTTTCAAAAATTCTTTTAAAAAACATTAGAAATTAATTTTAAGAATTTCAAATTTGATAAATGCTTATATAAAAAATCTATTTTGATATTTGATAATGATATTACATACAATCTAGAACATATTACTTAAGCGCAAAAATTGTTTGAACATAATAAGTTATAGTGAAAAATATCTTTGAAAATTGGGTAATAAAATTCTCACACTTTCATAAAAGCGGATTTACATATGTATACACATATGAAAATAAGAAAAAATAATATTAGTACCTGGATACAGGCCGCAAGCCAGACAAATTACAACTAACCACTTGCCAACTTTTCAAATAAAAAATTAAAAAACAATAGTTCCCACAAAAGTATTGACGTAGAACGAACAAACGAACTAGGAAAGCAATTTCATTGAGTCAGTATTTGCACAACATTTGTTGATAAAATTTTCACACCTGCCAGATTTCTTTCTTTTATTATAAACAAACGCAATCTAGGAGAAAATTATCTAGCGAATCGTACAAGTGGAGCAAAACATAGGCGCTGCGAAGAAGCAACACACGCCAGAAGCCGGGCAAGCACATTTAAATAAACACCAAACAAATCGCATATCCGCCCACGCAAAACCAAAAACACATTAATATACGGAGATATGTATGGACTTTGTATAAACGGAAAATAAATCGAAACTAGCGAAGTAGGAGAGGAACGCTACTTGAACGGGCTTAAGGCTATTTTTTGCAAAATTACAATGGAAATAAAGAAACCGCAGCCAACAAATTATCTGTGATTTTACAACGCTTTTGAGTGCTATATATATTATATAAATATATAACTGCTATGTAGTAATACAGTTATATTATAACCTTAAAAACAATGAGATTTATCTTCCTTTTATAGAGGCCACTCAAATTCTTTCCAGGCAATTAATGCAATGCAAACATTGAAATGTAAACTTATCAGTCGAGTAATAGGTCGACACGGCGTGCACAGTTGCTTAGGTGCATTTACATATACATATATACATATATTTATTTCGCATATTTCTACAGAAAAGCAAATGCGCGTTCTAACTGCAGTGTGGTGGTACCTGTTTATCTAGTGCACTCATTAATTATTCATACGAATGTACCACCACTGCTTTCACAGTGCAGACTGACCATCCAACATCCACAACCAACTGTTTTCCAATTCTGTTTTACAACAATTTGTACTTTATTTTAGCTTAGGATTTGTTGATGGTTTTTCCTCTGCTTCTGAGACTGCTGCATTTCAGCACTATTCACTTCTATTTTAAAATTTATTTAATGCCTTTAATGTATTGTTGCATTAAATACTTTAATTTAGCACACAAACATTTGTGCCTGTTAACAAAGATCTAGACAAATAGATTTTTATAAAGTAAACAATTAATTTATAAATTTTTCTTCAACTTGTTGCATAAAAGTACAACATTTTTTGATCTCAGGTTCTTGCATCATTATTTATTTTCTCTTTTTTAATATATTAGGGTGACTAATATTAACTACAAAAAAAAAAAAAAAATACAAGAAACCGTTAATGTAAAGCAATTGCATTTAAGTGAATATTATTCACAAAACTGTATAATAATGATGTTTTGTTTGCATTTTGACATTTTCATGAACATTTACTCCTTATCACAATACATATATGTATACCATTAAAGTGACGTAAAATTTGTATTATAATTATATACATGTTAGTGCATATGTTCTGTATCACCTTTACAGATTTATAGTTTTATAACATACATACATAAATACATATTTATAAATGTTGTTTGTTATTCTAACATTAAGTCGAAATCCCATACGACAGACACCTACATATGTGCCTACACAGAAAACATGCGAAACTATCAATACTCGAAAAGAAAACAAATAACATAACACAATATTACAATTTATTATACAACAAGTCTTCCTACGAATATTTATACTTGCGCAAGTATGTGTAAAATTCGCACAAATCGACCCACACTTGTCAAGCAAAGTGGCCTACTCGCAAAATGTATTAAAACATAAAAATAGAATACAAATAAATAAAACAAAACTCAGTAAAGAGATAAGAGGCCGAAGCAAAACGTGTGAATGCAAATAAATGAAGAAACAAGCATGGGCATGGGCGATTGTACACTTTATAGATGGGTGCGAACAGGTCTGCACACAAAAGCCGCTTCCAATATTTACATTCATAAAAAATTTAACAAATTTGCATAACATAAGATTAATATAAAAAAGGTATGATTACATATAACTGGCGGCAACTAGTATTTTGATAAAAGGAATATCCTAGTAGGCTCCGATGAGGACCCGAACTAATGAGTGCTCGAAGATAAGTAATACGCAATGTCAATACAACTATGTATTATAATTAAAACAAAAATTGTTTTGGGGATGTGTCTGGGGAATATACGGAAATTCTACACATCTAAACATTGAAATACGGTTAAAAAAAATGCTTATTCTATGGAGGGTCAATCTGAAATATGTATACATATTAAATTTAGACACCACTATGTTTTATCCAATCTCAAAGAAATACTGCAATATTTAAAGGAGGAGAGACCGGTGAAAAACTTTATTTATTTACCTATTTAAGTACGCAATCATATTCAATATGAAAATAATTGTTAAATGCAAACTAAATGTGGGCAAGCAACTTTTTAATAGACGAGAATTTGTTTGAAAATGCAGTCATTTCAAAAATTTCATTTGCATCGCTTTAGTTAAATGAAAATAAACAACAAAAAGCTTAAATTTTATATATGTATAGAATTTAATGAATTAATTTTTGATTAATATATACTTTAATTTATATGTAATTAGACACCATAAAAGTGAGAATACGCATAGTATAGGTCATCTCCATTCAACATAATGGACCCACCGGCCGAGAGACAAATCAAAGGACATATTAGTGTACAACCATATCCCGATAAGGGTGAATGGTAGATAGTACACATACAGAGAATAAGTTTTTCAAGTGCACTTGCGCATACAGGAATTGAAAAGTGCAATTATATGGAACGACAAATGGAGTTGCTATGAACTTCCAGACAGTAAACAAATATGTATACAAAGGTGCATAGACATATTCTTAAATTGGGGGTGTAACTCCGTTATAGGGTTGCCGGATGAATATATCATTCTTTCTTTCACCCCAAAACTAACAAACATGGATAAGAAAGGCAATTTTTCACAAAATAGGTAACTATATATAATATACTTAATGTAATACAAATACACTTTATTTAAAAGAAAAAAATCAAATCGGTTTTTACAACTCAGCTTTTTAGAATGTTCACTAAATTTTAATTAGTTTCACGTACCTGAATGTTTTTCTCGTCCTGTCCGGTATGAATTGTTTGATTGTTTTGCCAAATCCGTTGTTATATTTCGTTAGTGTTACACTCTCTATGGAACACACACATACGCACATTTCATAAATATCTCGTCCTTTGAAGTAAAGGGATATTATGTACATATGTAAGTGTACCAAAGCGTCTGATAGAAAATCAGGAAGTTATCTGAACATAATTCCTTCCAGTAAGACGGTAAAACACTTCAACTTTCGAAACTTTACACTACTTTATCACTTCTCAAAACATTAATAAAACCAAAGAACTTCAGGATACTTTTGTTTTTTAGTCACTAAAAACTGTTGTAATTCAATACTTTGAAACTTCTTCAGACAACACACTCTCCATATCAATCTCCCATCAATATTTCACTACATCCTTTGCAGGAAATTTCGCGGAACAATAAGCAGCGTCTTCTACTTTTGTTTTTACACTGCAAAGTACATTAAAATTCCATTTGAATCACTTTGCTAAAGGAGTGCTTTCTTCTATTAATTCAATATTTTCCACCGCTTATTAATTCAAATTTATATTTTATAATAGAATTAGAAACCTTTACTTTTTCAATTCACTTTATGTCTACCATTCGTAACGCAAAGAAAAAATTCAACGGATAACGGAATCACGAATACAACGAGCGCGCACAGCTGCCATTTTACGAATAAAAAGCGGCTAGAAAATTGAAAACACAAATGACAAATTCTTATTGGACGCTGACATGGTTGCAATTTTAGTATGCAAAGAAATAGATATGCTGGCAAAGGAACAAAACCGAAATTAAGAAATTTAAAGTAAATAATGTATATGAACTAAGTAATAACAATGATATACCAATAGAAAAAAATAATACGTCTTTAAATAAAAGAAAGAAAAATGGTGTACTGTTTTAAATTCACATAAAATATTTCTTATTTCTCCATGTGGCAACTAATAGATTTGGTATTTAAACCAGAGTGGAATTGGAACACCTAAATCAGTGCTGCCACAAATAGCGGAAAACTCCCATGTTTTAAACTTTTTACTGGGAACAGGAAGTGCTTATTTGATAGAGTAATTATTCATTATTCTTTTAACTCAGTGTTTTGCAAACGAAGTATTCGTAGAAGTAAACAAGTAATTATTTCTCGGTATACTAGTAACAACCCTTAAGCAAATCGTGTCACCCACATGTTTAAAATAAAAAAAGTCATATTATTACTTGATATCTTTAACATATATTTTTGTTCATGTCTTCCATATAATAAACTAATTTGTCTTGAACAAATAACAAAATAACTTTCGTAAACATATAAAGGATAACTTAAATACACATCACAAGCAGCAAACATTCTTTTCCGAGTCTGGATATTATTTTGTTTTGTAAAATATACTTAAGTATTGAAGTGTAGTGAAGAATTATCAAATATAAATCTAAAAAATAGCACACCCTAGAAATCCCTACACATAATTTGGAAAGTCATAAGGCAAACTAGAGCTTAAAAACAATAAACTAAATCCTAAAAACAATAAGGCGGAATAATTACACAAAGGAAGTCAAGTTAATTTTAGAAGGAAATTAAAATAAATTTTGTACACAACTATTAATTGTGCCATCAGAATGTCTAAATATATTTCGTTTATATTACTTTTCTTCTATGCCACATTTGTACTCTTCTCACCTACGCTGAACATTTAACTTCAATTTGTCTTTTGGTGTTAGCACCAAGCGCTTGTTATCGTACACCAGTGGAATAGGTGTTTCGCGACAGGGACTGAAACTGTAATCACGCAACAGTGTTCCGAGTCCAACCAGCATTTGCTTTTCGGCAAATTGTTGCGCTAGGCAGTAACGGGGGCCGGCACCGTAAGGTAAGAAAGCCATTGGATGGCGTCGCTTACTATTTTCCTTACTGAAACGTTCCGGATCGAATTTATTTGGCTCAGGATAAAGCACTGGATCATGGTGTATAGCCGCTATTGGGATGACTAGATGATTGTCTGGTCGCAGCATGAATATAGAGTTGGGCACTTCGTAATCCTCATTCGTATTACGTAGTAGGAAAGAGTAAGGTGTATGCTTGCGCAAAGTTTCTGAAAAAAGTTGAATAGCGATGTAAATTATAAAATACTAAAATACTTTCTAGGAATAGCCAATTCTTACCATTTAAACATTGCCTCAGCAAATTCATATCGTTCAAATTTTTACTATCCATACCATTCTCATTACGCTTGAGCACATTGCATATTTCTTCCTGCACACGCCGCTGCAAATCCGGCTGCAGCGCTAATTCATACAGGCAGAATGTCATCGCCGAGTTGCATGTTTCCAAACCCATAAGGATAAATGAAAATGCCTGTGCTGCGATTTCTTCGTCACTTAAACGTCTTTTTGGATCGCGATCACGTTTCAACTCGGCAAACATGTGAAAGAAACTATTTCGTTTATCTAAGCGACTCCACTCCTGTTCGAAAAGCTTCTGACGCACTAGCTTAAGAAAGTAATCAGTAGCAGCTTGTTCGTAGTTTTTATAGCGTAACAAGCGTGCAACATTTGGAAAATACATAAGAAAATATAGACGAAACATATTGAAGTCTTTGAGGTAGCTACGCGCCATACGACGGAATTCTGTATCGGAATTTAGCAACGTTTCACCACTAATGCCAAACGCCAGTGTTGAAATGACATCAATATTATAACAATCCACCAAATTATTAACAGGCACTGCCGCATCTTCCGACACCTGTGTCAAAGAGCGATGCATTGTGCTTGCGACCTTCTCCAACGTGGGTAGCATCTGTGAGATATTATCTTGAGCAAAAGCTGGGCACACCACCGTGTTTAGGCGTTGCCAATCTGCGCCATCTTGTTGCAGCAAATTCGCCGAGAGTGGATCATGTGGCGCATTACCGAATACACCTCGCTCCTTAAAATGTTCAGAATGTGTTATAAGCACATTTCGTACCAAATCTAAATCCAATACCAAAACCATTGGTTTCAAATATGCATAACAACCTATGAAGGGTGCTTGACCTTTGTACTTTTCGTAAAGTTGTTCCAGCACAGCGCTAATATGACGTTTGCCACCAACACCACCCAAATTACCAACTAAGAATCTCGGTTTCTCATGTAATATACCGCGCCGCTTCCAGTGCGAAAGACTTGCTTTGACTATGAAATAAATAATTGAGGCAGCACTTAAGGCGGTGTACAGCAAGCGTTGAAGCAATTCCATGTTGATTCGAGGCAATATTATAGTATGTACAACTAGTGGATTTTATATGTTTGTGGCTAGTAGATTATTAAGCGTTAGTTATTGATTAAATTTTCACATGACGAATTATGTCTTTTGTTTATAGGTATTTGTTAGGTTTACTCCGCGGCACTCAAGCCAGTGTAGTCAGCAGGCGTGTGTTACGGAGCGGCCACAATTGCTTATCGCATGCATATTTAACAATTTCGTATAATTTCATAAATTGATGTCTTATCAGTGCCTATCGCATATTTTGCAACAGTAGATATGTCTGAATGTCACAAGTAAAATATGTAAAAGTTAAATATGTGATAAAAAAGAAGTAATTCGTTGATAGTTCCTTCTAAAAGCAAAAGTCCAAAAAGGTTTATTTTGTTTGAAAATAGTTATATATGTATTTAAATTTATTTAACGTTTTTGGTATCTCTGTAATGAAAGCAATTGAAATTTTATTAAGTAATACTATTGCAACAGTTTTATATGTTATTTTTTGGATATGGACATTTAACAAATGAATAATACAATTATATGTATTGTCCAGGTGTTTTCATGTTTTGGCATCTTGTTTTTGTTCTTATTTAAGTTGAGGTAAACAAATGTTATAGAAGGAACTATCAACAAATTCCGAGGTGTGCTGCCAACGTATGTAGCCGCGTTCAACTAGTTCTTGCACAGATTTGGGCACGCCGCTAAAGTGGGGATCCTGCAAGTGAAGGAGAATATAAAAAAAAACTTAAAAATATGTTAAACACATATATGTATAAAATATACAATTTCGAATAAAACATTTTTAAAAATACAATATAAAATTTCGAAGTATTGAATTCATAAATCCGCTTGTGGCTGTATCAAATAATTAAAGCAAATAACCTTTAGTAAATAAGCAACCTACGGTAATAATCGTCGACTTTGACCTAACGTAATTATTTATACCGCTTTAATTGTAATATGTGTATGCTGTTATTGCGCAAGTATTTTACACATGAGTTGTTGCGTACCCAACGAACTAGCCAAAATGCACAGTTTGTTGTTAAACAATTTAATTTTAAAAGTTGGCAACCACACAACGATCACCACCACCTGTTAACTAGTCACAGGTCATACATTTTTTTTATAAGTAAATTTCTTGACAAAATTTTTTACCAATGTTATATGCTAACTAACTTTATTACTTACAACGACTAGTAAATAAACTTGATTGCCGCTAATATGAATTCCTGCAATACCCTTCGATCCAGCGTCCATATCACCGCCCATCATAACTAGGCCACCATAATCATCAAAATATTTCTTCAATACATTTGCGTACTTTTTTAGATCCTCGTGGCTGGCAATATGAATGATACGGCATACAACATCGTAGAGTGCATCCAAAAAGTAGAAAACTTCAATGGCTCCAATCCAATCATGTGAGCCAACAAAATCATTTTCTTTGTCACCGATTTGCACAAGTGTCTGCTGTATTTCTTTTATAGATGGCACTAGTACATCTACGTCCGTAGCACCGCGTTTTCCAGCAATCCAAGAGCATATGGATTGTAGCGTGCGATAGGCACAACCCCAGCCAAGGTCCTTGAAACCGTCGCAATTATAGTGAAAATAGGAAAAATCTCCCTTCGTATATGAAGTGACGCTGGGTTCTGTTGCAGCATTTGTTTTCGGCAATGGCAGGCATTTCTGCACGTTGCGTAGCAATTGATATGGATAGCATTTGCGTGTTACTTGATGTTCTTCATCCATATCTAGTAATACGATTTGCTTATTCAACCATTAATCGCCCACCTTACTTTTTTCGTTCGTTTTTTTTTTCGCTTGCACACTTTTTTACTCGAAACTGCGTCTGTGCCCAAAAACTTTCTTAGCTAACGCGGCTACATTATATGTATATTGCTCATCACCTAAATCAATTATTTTGCACTTGTTTTACTTTCAATTAATTTCAATCGTATGCGTCAATTTCTACCGACAACCGAATAATAAATAAATTTTAGATTTTGCGTCTCTCACGACGCAGCTATCGTGTTTTATTTTGCAGTTGCTTGGTTGTTGTTTTTGTTGCTGATGTAACGTCAAAGACAAAGTGTGTAGACAAAAGTTGCCACTTAATTAATAAATAAAAGGAAGAACGGTTTTGAAAAGCGGTTACTTTTATTTCTAATTTATAGCAAGAAATATTTTATATGTGCTACAGTTTTCGAATCTGTTAAAACGAGTTTGATTTAACATTAACATTCTTAATTTTCTTTTAAACTTTTATTGAAGTTATTTTTTAGTACTAATGTATAATAAAATTTTAACTTTGGCTAGTAGTGTACTTTTTTGTTTACCTACACTTAAAAAAATGGTACTTACAATTCCAAAGGTCTCCAAAAACTGTGTTGCTCGTGTTTATACTTAGTTCAGATACTAATTAAAACACCACCACTGTGTGGTTATATTTTTTTATTTTTCTATATAAGGTTTACATATGTATGTTCAATATTATCGATAGCAATAATTATGGTTACGTTTATCGAACTCTTGCGTGATCTACAAAATTACAACGTTTAATGAAATTGCTGCAATGAATATGCTGTTGTAAAATCCTGTATCGTCATGGGATATTTATAAGAATACACTCATTCTTTGCTGTTTGTTAAATAACTATGTAAATATTTGCACTTGTTTGTTGTGAATAACAACAATTATAATTAGAAATGTGTGACATGACCAACGAAATAGACATTTTCATTGTCTTTAATTGCAAATACAAATGGATGATCGGCGACGAACTGGTATGTTTGTTGTGCAAATGTAGCCGATAACGGTACAATTTTCAAATCTGCAGTAGAAGTGAGTAAATTATTAAAAAAAAAAATATATATATATTTATAGTATATATATTTAGCATAACAAAACTTTGTACTCACATGTAGCCGCTGCTGCCTCAGTGCCGGATTCGTTAACCTCGATGAAAGCTTTATGCTGAACTTGGGAAACGGCTACTTTTTCTTTCTGAGCCAGCATGCTGCTGAAATCGGCTTTATCACTGAACATGGTGGTTAAGCCCAACTAGTGGATAGAAAAAAAAAATTAAATTTTCTTATAAAATATTTAGACATTTTCATTTAACAATTACTTGCGCCAACACTGGCTTTAGGTCCAGATCGAATTCAAATTTAAATTTCGGCAGTTGTATGTTAACCTCTTCGGTGCGCATCGCCGCTGACAACTTTGCCAAATCAACACTCTTCAATTTCGTCTCCAACGACGCTAAACCGTCAACACTCTTCGGCAGCAACACCAACATAGAGACATCTGTATTCAAATAATTCATTTCAACGGCGGTAGCATCCAGCTCCTTGAAGTCGCCATACAGAAATGTGTCCGTCTGCTTCATCATATCCACTTCCGACTTGCGCGCAGCACTCGTGTGGAACTCGCGCTTAGCGGTCGAATGATTACTAAACTGATTCAACCACTTCGCCTTGAAATAGAGCGCATTCACCAGCACCAGCGCCGTATTGGCATCCAAGCTGTTGGCAGGAATTAGGCCACGTATTTTATTATCAGTTTCGGCTTCCACCCAGCTATTAATTGCCGCCGCTGTTGCAGTTGCATCAGCAAAGCGCACATTCTCTGCGTTGGCGTGCATTTGATTGACGGCGAGCTCATTGTATTTGGTGGAAATTTGAAAACGTTGATCCAGGTAAATGCGATTGGCTAATCGGAATGTTGCGCTACCCACTGACTTGGTCTTCTCAAAGAGTTTGCCGTACTTCTGTGCAGCGCTTTGCTTATCAGCGACGTGTTTTAGTGCCAGACTGTTGGCCAATTCCTCAGCCGTTTCACCTTCAGCGCCCAAGTAGGCTAGCGCTAAACAGGTTTCTATGGAAATTGGCGACACGATCACATTCTCATTGGGCTGTGCGCTGACGACAGACTGAATAAGCTGCGAGGTCATTGTTTGACCGGCGACGTTGTCACAACTGGCCATTGCGATGATGATGAGGAGTAATAGGTAAATTCCGTCTGCGAGAACAATAAAAAAGTAATTATTTTATTTGTTGGTATGCAAATAAATTATTTTCAATTCACTCATTGTCAGCTGTGCTTTTATGTTGCTTATTTTTTAAGAATTTCTTTTTATGTATCCGTGTCTGTAGACTTCACGGCTTGCTGACAATCTCCAGACTGGGCTTGCCAGCACAATTAGTTTCTGCTTATGAATGAATCCAATGCTAAAATTAGGTGTTTATTATTATGTTTTTTATTGGCAAATATAGGTTTGTATGTACTTGCGTGCATGAAGCAATTGAGGTTGTCATCGAAAAACCGAAAATATGAGTAAAGAAGAATTGTTTGCTTTCCGAATTGGGCAACGATTCGCTATTATTATTTATTATTTTTATTAATGAATAATCGGCCTGAATAAACACTTTTTTGGTTAACAAATTCACTATTATTTTTATTTTTATTTTTAAGCAGCACTTTTGTTACTAGACAACCGCTATGTCCGTTATGTACATAAGTATGTACTTATATGCTCGTATGTATACCGCTGTAATTTTGAATGAATGGCCATTATATGTGTCATGGGAAGGCATGTCTGACGTCAACCAGGAACCTGTTCTACTTCTGTGTAAGCTTCCACATACATATATAGTTATATACAATGTATGTACATAGGAACATCGCAAACTGCTTATACGACTTAAAAACAATTGCAGTCGCGCTGTTTTATTAGACAAATAATTTTGCATAATTGTTGGGATTTACCTGTCCAAAATTATATGAGAATATATTGTATTTATGTACATTAGGGTGGGTCGACTTTTTTTCGCCAAGAAAATCTCTGTTCCAAGAGTATAAAAATTATGAATGCAAATATTATATCCCTATTTTTAATTATAAGTGTTAAAATTTTTTGTTATTTTTTTTAATCACGATCATACATACATAAGTAAAATTTTAAAACATTGAAGTATAAGAAGTTTTGACCGAAATTTAAACTTAAAAAAAAATTGGAAAAATAAAAAAATTAAAGAATAATAATTTTAATATTTTTTAATAATTTAAATAATTTTTCAAACAATTTTAATATCTTTTTTAATAATCGTGATAATTTTTGTTTCATAAATCTTAAAATCTTATTAGAAAACATTTACTATTTTATTTAAATATATATTTTTTTAAAGAACTTTACGCCCTCTATGTATGTACATACCAAACACAATCACAAAAGCTGTAAATATCTTCATTATTCTCCAAACAATTTTATTTATCTTTTAAATTTTTAATAGATAGTTGATAATGAGAAAAAAAAAAACAAAAGTGGATTTCTATATAACATTATAGGATTGTTATTGCATTATTATTATAATTTCAATTTAGTATTTTTATAAATTGTTTACCTAACATATGTATACTAGAAATACACATACATACATGTATGTATGTAACTATGCACACGTGTATGTATGTATGTATGAAATAATTGTAGTATGCTATATAAATTTATGATACAGTTATAATTCATACTTTTCGGCACGACTGTGAGTGCGCGTAAAAAGGCTGCTACTAGCAGGACTTTCATATTTCCCGCCACTTACAAAATATTATTAATATATAGTATTTATATATATGTACTTTTAAAGTATAGATACTCGGAGCGGCTTGGTGAATTATTTGCTTGTTTTGGTAAATTAACGTTTTTGTTGAATGTTGTTGTGCACAAAAGTGGAAAAATGTTAATTTTGTAATAAGTTTGAGTTTCGAAAAAGTAGAGGGCAATAAAAAAAAATGCTTTTATGAACAAAGCAAAAGAGCAAAGGAGTGTTTTAGTGTTTTCGGTTTAGTGAGTAGGTAATTAGAGTCTTTTTAGGCTTGTTAAACGGTTAAATTGGAATAATTTCACTTGATCGTTAATGCTTTATGCACAAAATGTAAGTGCAAACGTTGTTTATATATGTTTTTGTTGTTGTTTAAATTTATTTTACTTTTACTTTTGTTAACTTTGTGGATATTCTTAGAATATATCAATATACATACATATCATGTATGTATGTATGCATAAATAAATGAGTTTGTTAGATTTTTTTTTTTTTTCATTTTTTATGTTAATTGTTTACAATTTTTTTGCAAATGGTGGATATTGAAATATTCAAGGTTTGTTATGCAGAAAGTAGTAAAAAGAGGAGAACGAGAGGGCGTGTGCTTTGTTTTGTTAAAAAGTTAGGTATACAACATATCACACAATTGTTGTTGTTTATTGCTGCTTACTATTTTTTTTAACAGATTGGACAGATGTTTGAAAAAAATTTAAAATTTAAAAATAATAAACAATTTTTTTTTTGAAATTTGAAAATTTTAGTTTTTTTTGAGAGAGTGGGTAGATGCTTGATAAAAAATTTAAAAATTCTAAGTAATAAAAAATTGTGAAAAAAAATTTTTTGTTTTAAAGAGTGGTCAGATTTTTTTTAAAGCAAATTTAACAATTCAAAATTATACAATTATATTGTTTCTGAAATATACATTTTTTTTAAGAATAAAGTGTTTTAAAGTTGTCTTTTTTTAAATTGCTTGGCCAGATGGTTTTAGACAATTCAAAATCATAAACTATTTTTTCGAAATTTGCAATTTTTTTGTAAAAAAAAGTTGTTTTTTGCAATTGCTTGGTGGTGCAGGCAGCAAACGGTTACGGAGTATTTTTAAGCATATTAGTTAGAAATGAAAAATAGTTTGTTTAGCTTTAAGCGTAAAGTGGGGAAAGGCATAATTTCGGTAGTTTAGCTGAGAACCATTAATTGTAGGCATGTGTATGTATGTAGGTGAGTGGCGTATATTACAAATTCAATTTGATTGTATATATTAGTTATTGCATGCGAATGCGCTTGCAGGTATTGTATATTTTGAATCTAGGCTTAGCAAAATTTTTTTAAATTTTAAGGTTAGAAATTAGTTGAAGACATTACTGCGGCGCCAAATTTATACATTAATCAAATTTACAATATTAATGCGCGCTATTAGAACTTAGCCTTGTATATTTATATGCTTTTTTTGCAATCAAAATTATATAT